AATATATATTGCTGATGAATACAATACTACTTAAGATCTCGGGACCTATTGAGATCTTAAGATCTCAATTATGAGGCACCGGTAATAATAATAATATGAACAGCCATAATGTTAAATGATCATAACATTGTGCCAGGTTCTGTTTGCTACACATTTTCTCATTTTTAAAAATTTTTGGTTGTAAATTGACATGATACCTTTATTTTATTTATTTATTTTTATGTGGTGCTGAGGATGGAACCCAATGCCTCACACATGCCAAGCAAGCGCTCTGCCACTGAGCTGCACCGCCAGCCTGCATGTTCTCATTTAACCTTCACAAGGACAGTGCTATCGCTTGCATGATGCAGATTTTGCAGATGGGGAAACTGAGGCTCAGAGAGATCAAATAACTTGCCCTAAGGCAAAAAAAACGGGGGGTGGGGGACGATGAGAAAAGGGATTTGATCCAGTAGGACCAGGATTTGAGACTCTGGATCTCAAAACTTTCAACTGCTCTTTTTGAACAATGAGTTCCCTTGACGAACGAGCCAGAGAAGATGACCAGGATGTGACTCTATTCATCCAGCCAATCATTCATCATCAGTTGATGGACCACCTGCTGGATGGCAGCACTCAGTGGTGCCTGGCCCTGGTCTTGGAGATGAGGTGCCCCTGTTCCTGAGAAGCTTTATGGTCTAGAGAAGCTGTGTATTTTTTTTTGGGTGGGGGGAGGGCGCTGGGGATTGAACCCAGGGCCTTGTGCATGTGAGGCAAGCACTCTACCAACTGAGCTACATCCCCAGCCCCCTAGAGAAGCTGGTTTTTATGCCAGCACAATAACCTGGTGGCTGCAGCCTACTCCAGAAGACATGTGCATCAGGAGGGTCCTGCATGGGGAAGGGTTCCCAAGAGCAAAACCTGGCGGGAAGTAGTGACAGGGAGTTGGACCTTTCTCTGCCATCATGGCGTGGTGCCACCCCATCCCGAGGCCAGGAATACCTGAAACTCCTTTGTGCAGAAACTGCTGGGCACAGAACACCCTGGGTTTTGCTTTCACCTTTGTGGAGAGGAAAAAGCAAAATCTCAATTTCTTTATGTTGTGTAAGAGGTGGGGCATTAGATGCCCTTTGAGACATCCTGTTTCGTTAACCACCCGAATATACTTATGCGTAAATAGAGGTCATACCCGGGGAAGGAGATATTTAGGATTGGGTGGCTCAAAGGAGTAAAATTTGGGGATGATAAGAGAAGAGTTACTCCAGGCAGAATGGCTTCTTTGCAGAGTTGAGATCCGCAAAACCCTTGTGGGGAGATGTTATGCATTTCTGCTCCCCTCCAGTGCCCCCCACAAGACAGTCCAAGCTTTCACCAGACTTTCAAAGGGCTCCTGGAATCCCTCCAAGAAGACTCAAGGATCACTTCTCTAAAGAAATATTGATTTGGGGGATGGGGCATATAGGAATTGAACCCAGGGGCATTTAACCGCTGAGCCACATCCCCAGCCCTTTTTATTTTGTACTTTGAGACAGAGTCTAAGTTGCTTAGGGCCTCGCTAAATTGCTGAGGCTGGCTTTGAAGTTGCCATCCTCCTGCCTCGGCCTCCCAAGTCGCTGAGATTACAGGCGTGCGCCACCGTGCTCAGCAAAATACTGATTTTTCTAAGCTTGGATTTAGGCATGCCTGCCAGTTGTCGCGTGTTCTTGGAGCGGCACGTATGTTCTTGATTTCCTGCTGCCATTCAGAGACCAGGAACTGAGACTCAGAAAATGGCCTGTGAACGCTCTTTCCCAGGCTCTAAAAGAAGGATTGTGTAAAAGTACTGGACCAACCTGGGCATAGTTCCACCTAGACCAGAACGTTCAGTGTTGCACTTGGTTGTTTCAATCTAGACAGCCCAGAAATTGGGAAATATTTAAATATGAGAGGGTTGAATTTTGGCACAATCATTCAATTGAGGCCTTAAGCAACAAGATACTATTGATCCACAAAAGAGGAAGCAATTCCTGGCACAGGTAGTGAGGAGGGAGGAGAGATGGCCTAGATAGGGTGAAGGAAAGTCTCCTCCATCTCTGGGCTCACTTGGTCGGGCTGGGCCTCCAAGTCTACTACGTGCTAGGGGGCATGTGCAAGAGGTGGGGGAAGTGGGCCCTGCCACAGAGATGGGCTGGGATGAGCTGGTAGAGCAGGCCCAGGAAGACGGCCCCAGCCTCTGGACTGTGTGACAGCTACGCCCAGACGTGGGTTTCCTGGGCTGAGATGCTCCTGCTTTTCTGAACTCTGAGCTGCTTTTCCTCATGGCTGGCTCTCCAGCGCCCTGCACAGAGTATGGCCCTGGTGTCACCGAATCTGCAGATTCTTTTCCTGCTCTGTGCCATTTGCAAATGACCAGTCTGAGAGCAGGCAGGAAACTTGACTCACCGGGCAACGAATGGAAAAGGGGCGCTCACACTCTAAAGGCACCTTCTTTCTGAACAGGCCTGGGGTCTGGTGATGAGGGGGCGTATCATTCCTGCTGCCATCAGAGCTTATCAGGGAAAGGGAGGAGATTTCCAGAGATCAGGGCCACACATGTCTTCTTTCCTAATTTGGGCACAGTCGATCCTTCATCCTGCCTGTGGATGTGTTTCTTATCATTATAATGAGATGATAAGGATCCCAGGTTCATATGGCGTATGAACATGGCCTGGACACAGATGGAGCCCGGTCTGGAGCCCTCCTCGTGGTTGGGGTTATGTGAGAACTTGATGGCCCACAGTGGGAGCAAGTGGTGATCAGGATTCAGGTTTTCACTCCCGCAAGCAAGTGGCATCTGACTGACCGGATGACAGTGGTTATCCGTAGTAACTTCAGGGCTCATGCTGGTGACACTTGAAAAGCAGACAATGAATGAATGTCCCCCATTGGGCAGCGAATGCCTTTAGGTCAGGGAGCATTTCTGAACCACCACAGTCTTGTCCCCGCCCAGTGCCTGTCCAGAGCTCTTCTGATGACCTTGACACCTCATCCCTTTCTCCTCAGGGGAAGTTCTCAGTTCAGCTCGGTGATTCCACGGATCAGGCTGGGCCCAGGGGGTCCTGGTGGATGACAATGGGTACCCCGCCAAGCTGAGAACCCAGAGGAACCATCTGCTCTGGTGTTGGCCAGGCCCCATCATTTGCCTTTTCAGAAAGGTGACAACACTTTTCAGCAGAGGTTCCCAGTGTGGCCACTCGCAGGAGATCCATGCGTGTGTGTGTGAGTGTGTGTGTGTGTCCTAGGTCACTCATTCATTCTCTTATTCAGGTGTTTGCTTAACCTCTCACTTCTTCAGTCATTCAACCATCCATCTGACTCATTCACTCATTCATTCCTTCAACATCCACTGGCCGTACTGTTGTATTGTGCACATGTACGAACACATACAACGAATCCCATCATTAGGTACAAATAGAATGCACTGGTTTACCTGTGTACAGAAAGTTAAGAAGGAGGAGAGGTGCTTCAGATGCTGGTCTTATCCCTGAGCACTCCCAGACTGGAGAGAGGGAGATCACAGCCCGCTTACCTGCTCGGCCTGCTGTATGGTTATTTAAACACAAATAAAATATTTGAACAGAAATAATCATACAGCCAGGTGTGGTGGTGCATGCCTGTAATCCCAGTGGCTCGGGAGGCTGAGGCAGGAGGATCGTGAATTCAAAGCCAGCCTCAGTGTTAGCACAAAAGAATCGGGCCAGACAGATCAGCTCAGCACAGCTTTTATTCCAGAAAGGAGTGACGTCCTGATGGATCCATTTACTGGTGGAAAATGAGCCTCATGCCAAAGGGGGGAGTTTGGGCTTATGTAGGTTACACTGAGAGGTGTCAGTTTGGGCTATCTTTACTGGGCCCAATGGAGGGTGTGGGGTCAGTATTCGGTATCTGGGATTCATTTTTACTGGGCCAGATGGAGGGTGTGGGATCAGTGGTTTGTATCTGGGAAAAAATTTATTTGGGGCGGGATAAATGCTTTGGCCTCTTCCCAGAAACTGTCATTTCAGACTTGATGGATAGCTCTTCTCAGGACTTCCTTGCTACTGGGAAAGAATGTATTGGGAAAGGATCAATGCATTGCCTTCTCTCTCATTTCTTCTTTCTGGGCCACGTTATTTGGGGGTTTGTCATTTTCCATATCCAACACTCAGCAACTCCAGGAGACCCTGTCCCTAAATAAAATACAAAAAAGGGCTTGGGATGTGGCTCAGTGATTAAGAGCCCCTGAGTTCAATTCCATCATCATCATCATCATCATCATCATCATCATCACCCAGCAGAGTAGAAAGTAGTAAATGGCAAGAGAAAGGCACAAACACATCACCAAGGGGAAACACACGCAGAGATTTCTTCAGTCTTAGAGAGGGAGAGATTGGAGGCAGCCTCTTGGAGGAAGCCCCATTAATGGCTGCTCCATAATTTCTGTTCAGGGGTGGGTGAAGGGGACAGTTTAAGGGGGGACATTTGGAGCCATGTCATCTGTGGGGCACTTTGCATAAGAGTGAACGGTAAGCAGTTGCTGCCTTTATCAAAGAATGGGGTCATGATGGAGGTTGGGGCTGGATGTCCCCCAGTCCTCTCTGGATTCTGCCATCCTGTGTGTGAGCTTGGAGGACAGGGAAAGAAAATGAGGCTGGAGCCAGGGCAGGAGCAGCCCCCGTGAAGCAGGGAATAGAAATGGCAGATTATACAGTAGGTAGGACCCGGAGGCTGGATGCCTGCAACTGCCAACTTGAACCTGAGCCTGGTTCTGTGACACCTTGGCAGTGGGCAGGTAGAGTAGGTGCAGCATCTGTACCTTTTGTGGAAAACCATCCAAATGATTGTACCGCTCAGCCTCTCTGTCCTCATCTGCCTGCTCTCCCCAGCCCCCAGCCTGCAGCGTCTGGCTGGGCCGTGTGCAGGGCGTCTGGCCCCAGGGAGAGGTGGGGTGAGCTGCGGGCCCCACCTACACAGCTTTAAATAGGGAGCCTCCAGCCACTGCTCACTCAGCCTCCCTTCCTCAGCTAGGACAGCAGCGGGAACCCCCTGCACACCTGGACCATGGACCCCGGGGATTGCACCTGCATGTCTGGTAAGTAAGGAGGCCCTCCTGGGGTCCTGGGGCACAGCACCAGCACCCTCCAGGGAGCATGCAGGACTCCAATCAGAAGTCGCCAATCAGGTTTGTCCTGGACTGACAACCTCTGGGGCAGCTCCCACCATGGTGACTTCTAGTCTGATTTGCTGGAATTGGTAGCCCTGGCACAGGGAATGGCCGAGGAGAGGACCTAAAAACTTTGGTCCTCCTAGTTGCAGATCCTGGGGGCAGCCACCAGGTTCAGGAAAAGAACTCTGGACCAGAACCTGGCAACTTGGCTTAGGTCCATTGCTGCTGCCATTCACTCATCCACACTTATAATTTCTGGGTGGTGGTTTCCTCATCTGTAAACTGAGATCACTCATTCCCAGCTGCATCCTCCCAGGGTTTCCATGAAAGTACTAAAATCATTAAGCACTTACAGATGTCAGGGTAGTTGTTAGCCACCTAAGTGGATCCCTGAGTCTTCAAAACTGCTTATCTTCACAGAAGCATGTTGATTAGAAGGAGGGAGTTCTGGTTCAAAGCCATCCTGAGATTTCACAGCCTTGGAAAACGGTATCTAAAAGTCCACAAGCCTGTCATCCTTAACAGCACATGCCTGTACCAAAAACGTGCTAAAGAGACAGAGCTTCCAGGGCTGGGATTGTGAACTCAGTGGCAGGGCACTTGCCTTGCACATGTGAGGCACTGGGTTCAATCCTCAGCACCTCATGAAAAATGAATAAGCAAAATAAAGATATTGTGTCCATGCATGACTAAAATATTTTTTTAAAAAAGATAGATAGAGCTTCCAGCATTTTGAAATGATGGCTGGGATGAGTTTAAAAAAAAATGGCTGGGCATGGTGGCTCATGTGTGTAATCCAAGTGACTCAGAGGCTGAGGCAGGAGGATCACAAATTTGAGGCCAGGCTCAGCAACTTGGCAAGGCCCTCAGCAACTTAGACCCTGTCTCAAAATAAAACATAAAAAAGGGTTGGGAATGTAGCTCAGTAGTAAAGCATCTCTGGGTTCAACCATTCCCAGTATTACCAAAAAAAATTTTTAAATGTGGATGATTTTTATGTATGAAAAATACTAATGGCTTTCCCCACTCAATTCAGAAATCAGACAATCTTAGGGTTTGGTCCCAGGAATGTGCCTTTTAACAAATATTCCTGATGGCCTGTGACGGGAACCACTGGACAGTCCTCAACACAGGGGGATGCTCAGCAGCTACTCCCCAAGGCCTGTGCAGACACCCTGCCACAGTGAGAGTCTGCAGCAGGGCTCGCAGTCCACTCCGTCCCAGCCCTGGTGTCACGGAGGCCCTGTCTTCTCTTGTAGGAGGAATGTGCATCTGTGGAGACAACTGCAAATGTACAACTTGCAGCTGCAAAACATGTCGTAAAAGTGAGTATCGAGGGACACCCAGGGCTGGGCTCTGGAAAGGTCTAATCCTTCATCCTCAACCACGCAGCCATGGTGCCATTGAGGGGCCTTGAACTCATTTGGAAGGGATCCGAAACATCGCTCTTCAGGGCTACAGCCCACCCAAGCACAGGGACATCCGTGGGGTTTGGAGGAGGAAGGGGACTGAGGGGAGGCTCTGTCCTGTCCAGTGGCAAAGGAGCTAACGCACCAGCCTGGTGCCTGGAGTCCCGGTTCTAGTCTTGTATCTGCCACTACCCATGGCCTTGACAACCCCTTCCCCTCTCTGGGACTCTGGCAGACTCTGGATGACCCTTGAGATTCCCTTCTCATGTCCCACAGTCTCCCGTCCCACAGTTTCTAATATGGATCAAAGCCTCGTGCTCACACTCTTCCCACCTCCTCTCAGTGATGGGAGGGGTGGTGGGAAGATGGAAGAGTGGACGCAAAGCTGACTCACTCATCTGCTAACCCTTGCAGGCTGCTGTCCCTGCTGCCCCCCAGGCTGTGCCAAGTGTGCCCGGGGCTGCATCTGCAAAGGGGGCTCGGACAAGTGCAACTGCTGTGCCTGAGACCCGTCCTTTTGTGCTGGGAGAGATCCTGGGAGCGTCTGTACAGTGCATGAATCAGAGGTTGAAACGATTGTACCATAAGTTGTGCTTTTTATATATCTGCCCAAACGTGGTGTTGGTGACACTCATGTAAAGTGCTGAGAGCAATAAAGTTTTCACTCGTGGTCGTCTGGCGACTCAGAGCATTGTTTTACCCACACCCAGCAAGACCAAGATGGGCCGGCTCCATAGCAGACCCTGCAGCTGGCCCTGGGACCCTCCTGCAAGCCGCTGCTCGCTGCACGTGCTGCCACCCTGCCCCTGCTCCAGGCTTTTTCTTGCTCAGGGACAGTCTGGGCCTCTGCACTGCGCAGGTCCTGAGCACTGGAGAGTTAATGCCCCTGGGAATAGCCTTTATTTAACCAATGAGAATCAGGAATTGGTGGATAAATACCCAGGGTTCCTCCCTCACGTGGGACAACTCTGAGCTTGTTCTGTGCTGTCTCCTGAAAGTCTCCACTAGCACCTGGTCCCCTGCGATCACCTTCTCATGAACTCCTGTCGCACTTCCCTGTTGCCTTAGGAGTGCTTCCTGGATCCCCACCAGAAGGGAGCACCGAATCAGTCCTGAGCAGAGTCTGTGCGTAGCTAGAACAACCCCCAAGGTCAGCAGACACAGCTGGTATTAGTGGCCCTGCTTTGGATATTTGGTGACCAGGCAGATATGGACCAGGGAGGAGAAGGTGATGGAGGCGCAAGAACAACGTCCAGGCAGAACTCCCAAGAAATGATTCCTAGATGGATGGCTGAGCAGGCACAAGTCCCTGGAGCCTGGCAGAGGGGAGAGGTGGTGGCTGCCTCTCAACCATGTGTGACCCTCCACAGCGGAGGGCACAACCCGAGCTCTGAGATGCACCACAAAGGGCCTGAACCAGCGCCTTCTCCTCCACTGGCCTCTGTCCAGCAACCTTCAGGTGCGGGAGTGGGTGAGAATGGAGCCCTGTCCAAGGCCACAGGGCAGCTCCAGGGCATCCCGTGGGGCTGGGCTCAGTTGGCGAAAGGAGGAGCAGGATTACCAAGTGCACCCTTCTCCCGGGCACTTTCACAACCTGCATGCTCATTATTCCCCTGTGGAAATCAGCTGGGCCTCCCTGGGCCGATCCTGTTCTCTACCTGCAAGTAGTGCTTTAGACTCAGGTATAAGCACAATGGAAAGGGCTTGGTGCTCCCCCCTCCCTGCTGTATGACCTTGACCAAGTCACCCAACCTCTTGAGTTTCAATTTCCTCAACTGTGACGCGTGTACCTTTTTGGCAAGGGTGTAGGGAGGAACTGGGGCTGAGCATCTTCGCAAATAGTAGGGGTTTAGCGGGGCTGCAGTCTATCTTGGGCTTCGGTTTATCAGTCTCTGAGAAGCCTCCTGCCAAGTCACCCTGGCAACTGCAGACCTCTTGGGTGTCCTGGGAAGAACATGGCCCTCCTGTCTTGGTCAAGCAGGCTGGCTACTTTCCCTGCAACCTCAGACTCAGCACCCACAGGGAAGCCATCCTGTGTCCTCCAAAAGCCTTTAGAGAAACTGCATCAACTAATCTCATTTATTCCTATCACTCCTCTGAAAGGGAGAATCAGCCCTCAGATCCTCATTTTAATAATAATATTATTAAATACCAATAGATAATATTTATTAAGTATTTACTATGTGTTGAACACCAAGCACTGTGGTAAGCAGGTTATAAACATTATCTCACGAATCCTGCATAACCAGGACAGACAATGTGGGACCCTGCCTTAGAGGGTCTGTCTCAGGTCCTCCTCCTCACAGGCTGTCTCAGGGTCCTCATTACCAGTCCCTCCCCCTCAAGCTCCTATCATTAATGCCTTGAGACCTCAGAGCCCAATTCCAGAATTTGTTTATGATTCCTTTCCTGTATCTTCCTTCTGAGGGTGGACCACACCATCAGTCTCTTCATCCCTAGGCTTGAAAATGGCCAAGGCCACTGTTCTCAGGATGGGGCATGTGTGGATGGTAATTAGATGCCCACGTTTTGATGTCTACTAGAGTGGAACAAGCCAGGTGGGAAGACAGGGCAGTGAGCTGCAGGCCAATCCTCTCCTTTTGCTTTTGTCTCACACCTTGCAAATTTAGGGGCTGGCTGCTCTAAAAACCCCGGAGGAGAAACCTGTTATGAGTTCCATTTTGCAAATGAGGCAGCTGAGGCTCAGGCAGATTCAATGGCTTTCTCCAATTTATGAGGCTTGCAAGGGGCAGGACTGGGACCTCAGTCCGCCTGACTCAGAGGCTAACTCTTGCCTATGTTGTATGAATGGGGCGGGGAGAAGGCTGCAGGCAATACCACCCAGACCCAGGCAAGAAGAGTCCATGCCTGGGCCCTGTGCTTTAGAGAGCCCACATTACTCAACCTTCAAACCCCAAATTTATTACAGAACATGCAGGAGCCTCCATAACTCAGGAGCTGGCATGTGTCTGGCACAGTGTAATCAAGTAATTCTAAACATTTGCTCTTGTTACCAACATCTCTTGGGCCCCAGGAAAACACTTCTCTATCTCTTGCCTTATGTCCTCAAAACAAAAACCGACTATATTTAAGTGCCAAGAAAATTTATGGATTGTCCCAAGGCCAATATCAGAGACCGACACTGTTTTCAAAGTGCAGGGAAGATTCGAATGGGAAAAGGGAGAGAAAATGCAAATTGAATCATCCCATCTGATTCTTTTTCTCAAAGAGCATACTTGTAACAAACAGATTCACACACTATCACTTCCTATTAGGGTGACAGATTCATGTTTTTGCTTTTCTGTGCATTTCAATTTGTGTTTCCAGGATATTCATGATTTTATGCTAACTGTAGGAGTTGTGCAAGGCAATGAGCAATATTTTGTAATACTCAGCAATTCATATTACTCATATAAATTCACATTCTTAAATGTTTTGCACAAGCACTTTGGACTGAATTGTTTGTGCACACCCCCATCCCCCACTGTTTATATGTTGAGGCCTGGGTCCCCAACATGATTTTATTTGAAGGTGGAAATTTTAGGAGGTGACTAAGTAATAAGAAGGATGTCCTCAAGAATGAAATTAGTCACTTGGATCTGTCACTTGGATCTTTTGTAATCCTTTTATTGACTTTTTTTTTTTTTAATTTTTGTCAAATTGGGCTGGGAGTAGTTCAGTGGTCCAGTGCTTGCCTAGCATTTACAAGGCCCTGAGTTCCATCCCCAGCACCACAAATAAATTAAAATGTTAAATGTATTTAAACACTAAGGAACTTTCTGAATGTTTCTTTATTATATTCTGCTCTTTATCTTGTAAATGAAGTAATTTCCTGAATCTCTGATGAGTTTAAAGGGTTTCATTATTAAGCTTGCTTTCTTTAATTATTTCTGCTGCTTTGAGCAGAAAGCAAGCTCTGTGGGTGTGGGTGGGGCTTGCTGAGTGGTGGGCTTGGATTTGGCATGCCGGGTGGGGAGCTGGCAAGCAAGCTTAGCCAGGCCTTAGGGTCGAAGCTAGAAGAGGTGTCCTCTGGGGGCTTGAGCTCACTCTGAAAGCCCAGGACTCTCCTAGACTGATTATCCCATTTCCTCAGGGAAACCCCTGGCAGTCTCAGGCCAGGGGCAATAGTGGAGCTGTACACACCCAGGCGAAAGAGGCCCACGTGACCACCACGTGGCAGCTCTCCCCTGAGATCTGCCCACCATGGCCCTGGTTTCTGCCCCGTCCCCACGTCTGCTCTCCTACCTTGTCTTGACCCACCAAAACAACACAAAATACAATAAAATCATCTACAGGCAATTCTACTACTTGATTGGAGCTATGACTTTCTCTTGCCCGTTTACCCATCCCTGTATTCCAGAAATAAGTTCAAATCTCCCATCCACTGATGTACTGTCTGCCCCATGCAGGATTTTTATTGGTTTTTCTTTTCTTTTCCCTTTTTTTTTTTTTAACCTCCTGCCCTTCTTTAAGTTTCTTTCAATGGATGTTGAGGAAGAAGGAGAGGTAAATCCACTCACTCTGGTCTACTGTCTTGAGCCCGAAATCTGAACTAAGCCGGTGTGTGTGTGTGTGTGTGTGTGTGGTATTAGGGACTGAACTTGGGGGCATTAGACCACTGAGCCACATCCCCAGCCCTATTTTGTATTTTATTTAGAGACAGGGTCTCACTGAGTTGCTTAGCGCCTCTCATTGCTGAGGCTGGCTTTGAACTCACCATCCTCCTCTCTCAGCCTCCCGAGCTGCTGGGATTACAGATGTGCACCATTTTTATTGGTAATATAGATATTTTTTATCTTGCAACAGCCCCGCACAGTAGGGATTATTATTTCCATCCTTCAGATGAGGAAACCGGGCAGCAGAGGACGTCAAGCTCAGGCCATGAGGAATGGAGCTGGTGGGAGAGCAGTAGGGAAGCAGAGTGGCAGCACGTGGTCCTGAACGGTAACACTGGAGCTGCGAGAGGAAACACCAAGGAAATAGAGCTCAGATCAAGAAAAAGAGAGGCTTTCCTCGTGCAGAGCCGCCTGGCGTGAGAAAGGACTGTCAGGAGGCTCGATGCATCACCCGACTGCGGTCCTGTGCTGCCTAAGGCACAACGAAGGCTTCTGAGGGCCTGGCAGACTCAGCACGTAGACAGGCCCAACCTGGAGGGGACCAGAGCAGGGTGGGACCCGACCTGTGGAGCCCAGGTCGCAGGACTAGGAGCGCAATCCCTCGTGCCGGATGCAGGGGGCGCACTGGGCCCAGCAGCCGATGCCGCTGAGTCCGGGAGAGAGGCACCAGGGAGTGAGGGAGGTTGGTGCCGCTGATCTTGCTGGGCTTGGGGACCGCTAAAGCCCAGAAAGAGCCCAGGACCCTCGAACACGGTGGCCGCTGGGAGGGCAAGTCGGCATAAACTCTCCAAAGGCCAGTTGAAGGCGACAGCTGCGAACGGCTGGAAACCACCCAGATTCACAGAGCACAAAGTTTTAAAAATAATTTTACCATATACATGAAAGAACCATAAAAAAAAGTTCTTCTGATTTGACCCCATGATTTCAATTCTGGAAATCTAAGGAATTTAGGGCAGGAGATTGTAGAACTTGCCTGGTATGTGGGAGGCCCTGGATTTGATTCCCAGCACTGCGGGGGGGGGGGGGGGGGGGGGGGGGGGGGGGGCGGGGGGGCGGGAGG